CCCTTTTCTTTTGAAGAAATGTGTTTGACAAGCAATCATAATAAGGATGTATTTAAAAATTAAATCTAGAAAATATCTCCAGGGCCAAGCAGTGTCAGCTACATTAATTGCACAGTAAGAGTTTGTATTCTAAATAATTACTTTTCTCTGATAGCGGACAACAAGAAATTCCCACCCCAAAGAAAGACTTACGTTGAATCTACTTTTAAAATAAGAAACTGGACACATTTAAATGGTTGGTTTGAATGCAGTTTTAAATTAAGAAACACAAGCAATTAAAATTTAGGATTTCTAAAAGGAGTAGAAACCAAAGGATTTTTCTAGCTAATTAATAGATTTGAGTATAAACAAAAGCACTCTATCCTATCAGAAGGATTCTACAGGAGGCTTTCCAGAAAGAAAAAGTAAAGTTTAGTAATTGTTCATTTGGTTAACATGGGACTAAAGCAGTATTCTGTGTTAGATATCATGAGTCACTGGCCACAGATTGAATAACCTAAGACTTTCAAAAGTTTTCACTTTTTACACAGATGAGTTTTGGGCTAGTATTTAAAATTCATAGAAATGTGGAAAGATGTTACAATTTTACATTATGCAAATGAAGAAACCAAGGCCCTCATATTGAAAGACTAGGCCAAGTTTCCATTGCTAGTTGATAGCTAAACAAATATCCTGACATGTATATATTTTTCCTCTACATCAAATCCAATACATTACATTCTAAATGCTAAAAATAGCAAAAATATGACAACAAATTTACTTATATATCTGTCCAGGTGATGATCTCAGTACAAGGGTAGGTAACACAATGAGGTTTTGCCAAACCATTATTCATTGAAAGTTTGGTACATTTTGTTCCGTGGAAGCTTCCTATACCTAAATCTCAAGAACTAGATGTGAAGATACCTTGTGATGTTTATAGAGTTAAGTGGTGTATTTAAAGATATTTGGCTCCCAAGTAAGGGCTGAGTTAACCTCAGATATTATTGCAAATATGGTTTGTCATTTGACTACCCTTTCTTTCTTATCACATCTCTCTATCGATCCAACTTTTAGTCCTTGCCTTCTACCAGCCATCAACTAGCTATTGCGTACATCCCTCTGTGTTTTCTTCTTCTCTTTCCCTGACACCATTGTAGAATGTGAAGGTTGAACCAATTTTAGATAAAGTTCTTTTTTACTCCTCCTCTTCCTCTCTGTTTCTTTTTCTCTGATAGTGGTATGAAGTAAAGGATAGACATAAGAAGAGGCAACAATGATGAAAAAGAAAGTGGATGATGTTTTAGAAAGATGAAAGATTTCCATATTCTTTTTCTTTGAATTAAGAAGGATCTATTACTTTAATAAAAAGTGATGCATTATTAATCTTTATGAAATCATCTCAATCTGCTAAACTCTTTATATATTATTTAACCCCATAATACTCTAGAGTAGGTGCTATTTTCTCCCTGAATTACTTGCTCAAGAATGAAACAAGTTTGAGAGCTATACTAGTAATTTTAAATTATGTCTTTTTGATACTAAATTATTTGATATAGGATTCATTGATATGAAGATCAATTAATTGAAAAGAAATGTTAGAAATTCTGAAACAGAGATATACAGACAGAAATATGAGCAGTGATAACCAATGACTACTTGCTATCAATCACTACACACTCCTTTCCTATGTTCCCTTAAATAAAGTAAATATAAAAATAAAATAAAGTTACACATTTGAAAATCAATAAGATACTTTTTTTTTTACTCTTATGACTTCCAAGCATCCTTTCAGGTACCCTTAAGTATAAATACAAACACACCAAATTCAAATTAATATACAATTCTAAGTATACTTTGAACCTTGACTGTATTGGACCCTCAACATTTAGTCACTCAGTTCCTCTTTGGATCTTCTTTTTTAATCTTCTAGCTCTACATTGCTCTCCTCCATGACTGTCTATTTGTATGCTTGTGTGCCTTTAAATGTTTCCATTCTTATTTTGGGCCTAAAATTTTAATTCATGTCCTCTTTGTCTGAATTTACTCCAAGTTCAGAGTTAGAGTGAAGACATATTGACAACTACATGTCTATGGCTTTTGTATTTCTATTTTTTTTTTTAGCTAGATCATAGTCATTACAAAGTTGGTTCTTATATATGTATATTTTACTCTGTAATATTTATTTTCCACTGTGAGAAAGAATGACTTTTTTGAAAGTTATGTGGTGAAAGTAAAGTTTATAATAGACTTTTCTAGCTTCTGGCCTAGAAAAATTTGAGGGGCACCTGAAAATGTTGCCCTCACTTTGTTTTTCCACATTCTTTTTTTTTTTAAAAATATATTTCACTGACTTTTCTTTACAGAAAGGAAGGGAGAGGAATAGAGAGTTGAAACATTAATGACAAAGAAACATCGATCAGCTGCCTCCTGCACACCCCCCACTGGGGATATGCCTGCAAACAAGACACATGCCCTTGACTGGAATCGAACCTGGGACCCTTGAGTCCGCAGGCCGACGATCTATCCACTGAGCCAAACCAGTTAGGGTTTTCCACATTCTTCTTGCTGTTGCATTAGGTTTAGAAATTTTCTTTCATACAAAATTATGTATTCTTACAAAGGAATATAACAAATGAATATAGTGGAATAATAAAATATTGTTATAATTATTGCCATTATTATCATTATCATCATTATTATATAAACAGCTATGATTTTGAGCACTTTTTCTTTGTTATCATTAAATGTGGTGAATAATAACCCCAAAAGATTATTGTGCTGAGTAAATTATATAATATATTAGAGGCCCGGTGCACAAATTCGTGCACCAGTGGGGTCCCTCATCCTGGCCTGCAGGATTGGGCCAAAACCAGCTCTCCAACATCCCCCAAGGGGTCCCAGATTGCGAGAGGGTGCAGGCCAGGCTGAAGGACCCCACTGGTACACGATCGGGATCGGAAAGAGACACAGGAGGTTGGCCAGCCAGGGAGTTACCACTGGAGGGCTCCAGGGCATGTCTGGCCCATCTTGCTCAGACCCAATAAGCTGGACCCCAGCAGCAAGCTAACCTACTAGTTGGAGCGTCTGCCCTCTGGTGGTCAGTGGACGTCATAGTGACTGGTCGACTGTCTGCCCCCTGGTGGTCAGTGCACGTCATAGTGAGTGGTTGAGTGGCCTTAGCATATCATTAGCGTACTATGCTTTGATAGGTTGAATGGCCAATCAGTCGACCGGACACTTAGCATATTAGACTTTTATTATATAGGATGTTTAAATATTTAGTTAACTTAAAACATAATAGAATTTATTAACTGGAAGTATTCTTGTCAGTACTATGACACAGAGAGGAAATATACTATAGATGGCATAGCTGTGTCTATTATTCTCTAACTATAATTGAAAAGTGATTGGGCCAACAAATGATTGAAATAACTGTTCTATAAAATGTAATAGACATAACTATGCTGTCTATGATATATTTCTTCTCTGTGTCATATAGTATTGACAATAATACTTCCAGTTAATAATCCTAATAATTACAGCAATAGTTTATTATTATTCATACTTTTTAGAATAAATAAAGTTCAAAAAGTTAAAAAAATCACAGCTGTTAATTCATAGAACTGGATTCAGATGCAGGTCTCTTTGAAATGGTATAGATGTTATACAAACATATATTTTAGACTTCAAATTTTCACACTTTCCACCAGACTGCTCTGTACTGTCTGTTTGTACTCCAGACATTACATGATTTATTGACTCTACTGTGAGTCATCTTTTATGTGTATTCATCTCTTCTTTCAAATAAGAACTTCAGATCTCTGAAGACAGAAACCATGCCCTATCCACCATTGTACCTTCAGAGTCCCTAAGTATTAATAGTATTAATAAGTATAATCAACCACTTTGGGGAAATCCAATAGAAGCAGTGAAGATCATCATCTTATAGTAGAAAGAAACCATTATACATTTAGCCAAAATCAAGTTGTGCAGGGAATAATGTGATGATATTAACTGAAGTCACTGTCACTACAAATATCATGCAATGTATTCTGTAATGGTTAACTTCATGTGTCAACTTGCCTGGGCCACAGTGCCCAGATATTTGATCAAACATTATGCTCAGGTTGTCTGTGAGGGTGCATGAGATTACCATTTGAATCAGTAGACTGAGTAAAGCTGATTGCCCTCCCCAATGTAGATGGTCCCTTCTAATCAAGCCTGAATAGAACAAAAAAGGCAGACCCTCCTAAGAGTAGGAAGAAATTACTGACTGAGCTGAGACACGAGTCTTTTCCTGCCTTTGCATTTAGAATGAAAACTTAGCTCTTCTTTGGGTCTTGAGACTCTGGCTTTCAGAATGGAACTTATGCCATTAGCTCTCCTGGTTCTCGGGCTTTCAGACTCACACTGAACCTACACATGGGCTCTCCTGGGTCTTTAGTTTGCCAACTACAGATCTTGGGACTTCGTACCCTCCATAACTACGTGAACCAATTCCTTATAATAAATATCTTTATAGATGGATACATCTTTATCTTTGTATTCTGTATAACAACCTATGGCTTCTGTGTCTCTGGAGAACCCTGACTCATACAGATTCCTTCGACGAACACTAATTAAGCATTAACTGCACAATCACTGCCTCAAACACATCTAGGGAGCACGTGCTGTGTGTAGGGTTTGTGTTAAGATCTGGAGACACAAACACGTAAAAGCCATCTTCTCTGCTCTCAAAGGATATTGTAAAGTAAGTCAAGGCTAGAGAACATGCACCTATAATAGAAGCAACACTCAGTGGCATATGCTGAATGTCAAGTAAGTAAAACCTGCAGTAAATACTCTGAGGATCTTCAGGGGGATTTGCTGGCTTCATGGATCAGGTGGCCATCCATCCTAGTTGAGCACGGACAGTTCGGTTTATGCCTGTTGTCTGAGCCCTATTATTTATAGCTCCATTTCACTCTGAACAGTGTTCTAGTGAGACAATAAACTATAAGGTCACCTTACTCACAGATGGAGATTGAAGGAAAGATTTCTTTCAAAGGTGAATTGTGGGTTATGTCTTAAAAGAAGCAACAGACATGAATCACAGACTTGGTGTTCCGAAATGCGTCTTTTATCATTTTTAAAAAATTTTCAGCTGTGAATGGCTTCAATCCCACTGTCTGCTTTCATTCTAGCGAGTCCCCTGAAAAAAAAAAATAAGACATATTATGCAAAAGGGAACAGAACGTCTCATTGATGCCTCAACTCTCCTACTCTCGGAGGATGCAGCACAAGCTGGGCATCCCTGTGCCTGTGTGGCAGGAGGGCACATGGCGCCTCAAGCTCCTTCATCATTACAGTTGCTAAAGCAATTACTCACTGGGAATTCATATTAACCCGAGTAAATTAGGTAAAAAGTCACGTATGTAATGCCCTTTCACTCAAAATAATTGGCTGCTAATTTAAAATTGGCTCACATTTGAGAAAATAATGTAAAAATGTCTTTAGAGATGTATTTGAATGCTTATCAACACAGATGGACAGGGGGAGCATTTGGGGAATGCTAATATAACATTTAAGTATGTTTTGCATGAGCAACATGTTCAACTTTCCAGAGCCGTCTAAAGATGCAACCTTGGCAACTAATGCCACAGCCTCTGACAGAACTTGTGTTAGTGTTCAATGAGAGCAGCGTTTCATTTTTCAAAAAGGGGAAACAGTCTGATAGATATATGTACTATGGAGGGAGAGAGGTGTATTGTACTTTTGGTGAATACATTTCTATAAATTAAATATTTAGATGATATGATTTTGGAGTGGATGGCCACACTGTCACCGAGATTGGTGGGCATCTATTTTTGAATATGAACACTTTGAGAACAAAAGCCACACCATAGTCATCTTGGTATCTCTCATATATAATAGAGTGCCTCGTATATGTTAGATAGTTAAAAACTATTTGTTAAATTAACTTGACTGAATTATGTATTTTTTAATGACTAAACTATGCACAAAGATAGACATAAGTGATAATTGATATTTAAAATAGATCCCTGCCCTGGCCAGTTTGGCTCACTGGATAGAGGGTTGGATTGTGGACCCAAGGGTCCCAGGTTCGATTCTGGTCAAGGGCACATACCTTAGTTGCATGCTCCTCCTTGGCCCGGGCCCTGGTCAGGAGGCAACTAATTGATGTGTTTCTCTCACATAGATATTTCTCTCTGTCTTTCTCTCTCTCTAAAAATCAATGGGAAAATGTCATCAGGTCAGGATTTTAAAAATAAAAAAATAAAATACATTCCTAGTAAGTTTCTGTGCATATATTTGACTTTTGAACATTATACTGTTGAGTCATGCTTATCACATGCTTATGATTACCAAGTGCATACCCAGAAGCTGGGTAAGAAACCTTTAACAGAATCATTAAAGAATAATTAATGGAGGGTAAGTCATGAGGAAATTTCTTAGTATTTTAAACATTTTTTTCTTACAAGCCCTCAGACAATTGTAATCTTAAATTTTATATGGTCCTATTGATAATATCAAAATTTCTAAATGCTTACAAATACTGCCTGCCCATCAATGCTCAAATAAACCAATCAGTCTAGAGCAGTGGTTCTCAACCTGTGGGTTGCAACCATTGGAAAACACATACAGCATATGAGCTATTTACATTACAATTCATAACAGTAGCAAAATTACAGTTATAAAGTAGCAACGAAAATAATTTTATGGTTGGGAGTCACCACAACATGAGAAACTGTATTAAAGGGTCGCAGAATTAGGAATGTTGAGAACCACTGGTCTAGAGGCTATACACAGTCTTTTAAATCATGACATGTTTTAGTAAAGAGTGGATTGAGATTTAAAAATCCAAGGTTAAAGTTGTAGTACTGCTATTCACATGTTATGTGTTCTTAGTAACATCATGTAACCTCTCTGAAACTTAGTGTGTTTATCTGTAACATGTCCATGAAATAGGGGGATGCTCTAAAGATCTCCATATCTGGTACAAAATATGAGTCCAGATAATTCAGGAATCTAGACATTGAATGATTAAACAACAGATAAGTAGAATGTGTTACATCTTTCAGTAATATAGAGTTAAAGAAAATTAAACAGATGCATATTTTCAAATATTCAAATGGCAATTCATATTTTAAAGTGCTCAGAAAGATTAAAATATAATTTTTATAGTAATAATTTTCTAGTTATTAGCCTTTGTTAATTAGAAATTCAGAAATGTAGAATGATTTCAGCAAAGAATGAATAAGACTTAAATGAAGTTAGAAGCTAAAATACTGGAGTAATTTACTTTTCTATATTATGAAGATAAACTAAATGATAACCATGGATTAAAGTGAAAATTTTTTTCCCCAGGATGAACCAGAAAGCTGAGTTATCTTTAACAGAATATCAAGAAGAAATACAGCAGAGAACTGCCAAGTATTCATGCCACTTTGTGCTGTGATGGCCCATTATACAACAGTAACTTTTGGCTTTTTGAGGGGGATAACAAGCCTCTTTTGAATATATGATCCAAATTACTGAGCAGTACATTAATTTGCGTTTGCTAGATTATACTCTGTACCAAACAACTCCCAGATTTAGGGACTTAACAGCATACAAACATTTACTTTTTTGCTCGAGTGTCATAAAGTCTGTAGGGTTACTATAATCTTGTTCTGGCTGGTGACCAGTGGTAGGTCTGCACCAACATGCCTTCCATTTCAAGACCCAGACAGAAGAGTCTGCTCCTACCTGGGTACTATTATGCTATTTTTATCATGCTATTCCCAGAGCACAGGAAAGTAACACAAGAGAGCCTGACCCAGACTCCAGAATAATTTTAAAGCTCTTCTTAACATGATCAACAGCACATCTATTCACATGTCACATTGTCAAAAGTACATCACATAGTCAAGCGCCAAATAATGAGGCAGGGATATGCACTCTTTCTACATTATTCTTTGGAGAATCTTATGGCATTGGGTGGGGTGGGTATTATCATAGTATTATGAGTGGGGTGGTAGTAGATATTGGGAATGATAATTCAGTCTACCACCATTTCCACAAGAAAATATAACTGCAAGCATGTAGTCAATATTTCCAGGGGTTCTAAGCTGTAAGTTATATCTCCTGGGCAAATAGCCAAATGACAAAATAGTACTTTTCTTTTTGAAAAGTTCAACATGTTTGGCAAATAGTCTTGAAAAAAATTACAGCAGGTAAGACTTTCCAAATGACATGTTCACCTCATAACTTACCAATTTACTGAATTGTTGCATTTATAAACATTAAAATAAAAGATTGGTTCTTTGAATGAGACATCCAGATGTACAGTAGGGCACTGATGTACTCAAAATATTCGCAAGTAACAATGATATCTTAATTGAACCTTAGAAAGTAAGTTGTGAATATTTTGTTTATATTGTTGTTCTAGAAAACATAAGAGGGTGCTGCAATAATTAGCAAGTTAGTATGATCTAGCAGAACTTGAATTAACCCCAGGTCTTAATAATTTCAGAGCTTGAAAAACTTTTAGTACCTAGTATATTCTCTCTGAACAGAGTAATGAATGATTCTATGCAGAACTAGAGAAGAGGTGGACAAGAACAAAAATAAAACAAACAAACAAAATATTTTAATAATTTGAAAACTCAATAGCAGTGATTCCTGTTAATAATGCAGGGTCATAGCTAGAGTTAAAGGCTTAAAATTTGCCAAAGACAGAGAGTGGCAGGAAGGCACTGAGCAAGACCTCCAACATGGTTTAATTACTCTAGCAGTGACTAAACTAGGCTTACCATACAGTTTTTGAAATTATAGTATGTATAAAAAAGATACAGGTTTGAAATATAAATAAAGATTACTATTAATTTTCAGAAAACTCCTTTCTCTTATGAAGTCAGCAACCCTTGAAGTTGAACATTTATCTAAAGATGCTGGATTTCTGAAAAAGTGAAGAAGAGGACAGAAAATCTTAAAGCATCAGGAGTCACAGGAAATATGGTCAACAATACTTGTTGAACATTTGCTTTCCATAAAGCACAATGTGGTACACTATCCGATACAGAAAAGGAGGTCAACATTTGTTCTTGAGATATTTACCATATACTTGGGTAAGAAATAACTTTAAGATAGTTGAATAACAATACAAGGAATTCAGAAATAAGTAATATGAATTAAGAGAAGAGAGAAAAATATTGATATTTTGAGAAACCTTTAACATGAGATGACTTAGTAAATAAACTACATAGATGTAAAAGGCTTAATTGTGTCCTCCTAATAGTCATATGTTCACATCCTAATTCCTAGTACGTTAGAATGCAGCTGTATTTGGAGATAGGGCCTTCAAAGAGCTAACGTAGATAAAATGAAGTCACTTAAGATCCCAATATGACTGGGATCTTAAGAAGAGGAGATTAGGACACAGACATACATGGAAAACCAGGTAAAGACATCAGAAGAAGACTTCTATCTACAAGCCAAGGAGAGAGGCCTCAGAAGAAACTAATTATATTGATTCTTTGCTTTTAGACGTCTAGCCTCCAGAATTGTGTGGCAACTAATTTCTGTTGTTTAATCCACCTGGTCTTGGTGTTTTGTTATGGCCACCCAAGCACATGAATGCAGCAGGAAACTGGAAACCTGGGCCAAAGAGACCTGGCATGAGTGGTCTGCTGACTATTATGAGATATTGACCTAAAAAGAAGACTTTCTGGAGGAGATGAAATGGAAGAGAAAGGGTAGGTATATTATGTTTACATCAATTTAGGAGAGCATCTAATGTGAAACCAACAAAGCTAAATTGCATTAAAATTTAAAATATAGAGGAATTGAATAATATGAATTGGTTCAATTCATATGTATTGAATTGAATGCTTTGTTCATTTATTTTAAAAATTTTGTGCTAATAAACACATTTAAAACATTTATTTATTTTGGAATCCAGCTTTAACTAAATTTTCTACATTTTAAAATATTTATCAATAATTGGTGGTGTTTTTAAAAAAAATGCAAATCCTTGCAGTTGTGTAAATTAGGTCATGAAGTAGGTGTGACTGAAGGAAGGTTCTGGTGAGCATGCTGCAGAAATGAAATGAGCTTTGCTTAGAATCATTGGCACATTAGAATAGGATTGTTATTTTGAACTTGTCTTTCCAAATTAGATATTCTAAGTACTGATAAAAATTATTAAAA